AAGCCAAAAAAGGAGCTGCTTCTACAAAGTACTTAATTCCAGAAACACTAAGTGCAAAAGAGTATAAGTTAAGATTTGCATGGGAAGGAGAAATAGTAGAAAAACCTATTCGCTCTTTTGTTAAGATACTTGGAAAAGTAATAAACAGAGCTGAATGGACCTTTTTACACAACACTCACAATACAATACACCAAGAGAGAAAGGCTATGCAAATGTGGCCAATCTTCTACAAGCTACTAAGTGATGGAACCAAACAACGAAACTACACATACAAGACAAATACGATACAGCTCTTCGAAATTAAATGTATAAATAACATGCTTCCAGTACTTGAAAAGCTTAATCAAAGAAGACTAGAAGTATACTGAACAGATAAATCTATAGTATGTAAAAAAGAAAAGGAAACTGTAAAACATCTGGTGAGTTGTGAGATATCAGTAAACCTTCTCCGCAGTATAGAAGAGCAAGAAGTAGAGGCAACCCTTATAGAAATTAAAGATACAGAAAGGTTGGAGAAAAAAAAAGAACACATACTAGCAATGTTAAGAAAAGGAAGTAAATCTGAAGAAATCTGAAGAAGAGAAAGATAAATTAGAGATCTAGTTACAATAGAAGACTTTAAGAAGTTGAGATTCTATTTTAACTCCAACAATCAGATGAAGAGCTTCATAGTAAGACTTTGGAAGAATTGGATAAAAAAAGTGTATAAAAAAATATAGATCCCAAGATGCAAGTTGGTACAAGAATGGGAAAAAAAAAATAGCATTGGTCCAAAAGAAAAGAAAGGGTCTTATGAAAATTCTAAGAAAAGAAACAAGAAGAAAAAAGAGAAAAAAAAGCGAGGCCCCAAAGCAGATCTCTCAAAAAAAACTAATGAAAGAAAGAGTAAGAAGAAAGAAGAGGACATGAGGCGGGAATCGGTATTAGAAATCTCAAAGAAAGAAGTACTAAGTTGGATCAAAAGTGGTCAACGTTCAGAGTGGTGGAAAGTTAACATGTAGCTTATCCACTAATTTGATTTTTAGGGGTCTTTTTTCGATAAACTATTACACAAACTTCTGCTTAAGTGACGTGAAGAATAACGAAAGAACCTTCAAATAAAATAGTTTTTGACCTCTACATGAGATAAATAAGCAATAAATATTCAAAGAACAGCTACACCAAGCTGTAAAGGAAGCACTATCACTAGTTGTTTGAAGCGTTCGGGTATTTTCGGGTAGTGAAGGATTGGTTTGCCATTGAACGATTGGTTGTATAATGGGTAAGGGTAAATTCGGAAGCAATTTTCAGAAAAACTACCTTTTTAACTTACTTTTAGCTAATAATTAATCATGTAGATATTAAAATATTCTATATACTTTATTATGAATTAAAAGTAAGTTTAAAAGACCATTGTTGTAAAAATTCACTTTGTAATAAATTTTAATAGCAAATAATTCTCAATCATGATTGGCTAATTTTGGGGTGAAACCAAATCAGTGGATATGGTCTTGACAAGCGGTAAGGATTGCTGTTAAAGTACTATTGAAGCCAAATGCAGGATAAGATAGTATAGAGGCAAATCTTACTATAGCAGGTCGCACATAGGTACTCAGTGAGCAACCGAGTGAGTCTTCACTTGTAATTTAGGTACCGAAGAGCTTAACTCTTTGGAAAATTTTAAAGTTTAGAGAATTATTACAAAGCCTAATAAAGTGAAGGCGAGACTGCCGAAGTTATAAAAAAAAAAAAATATTCAAAAATTTTATTTTTGCTATATACCTATATAAATCAAATTTTTAGTTGGAGATATGTTAAAATATACATATATGAAATTAACTATTAGTTTAACTGTAAAAATTATTTCTTATTTTTAAAAAAATACTCAAGCTATTCAGTATATTTGTACTCAAACAAATAATAATAATTTTTGATTTACACTTTCTACCTTTATATGATGGAATTTTTTTTTTGTATCTTTACAACAAGTACAAAATAATAAACAATATTTAAAAGATATAGCATATGAAATAGGATTATAATTAGATAAATATATTATATCAATTCTTAAAGATAATATATTTTGAAATTATTTGCAAAATATTATTCATACATTGAATTGTATTCACATATTCCAATTATTTTAAAATCTTAATATGCTACTCTTGCAAATATAGTTTATTTATGAGCTCGAATACAAATAACTATTAGTTCTATTAACAATAACACTTTTTAGCAAAATGTTAGTATACAAATTTAATATTAATAGAATTGAATATATAGTTTGGTTTTTCTTGTATATTAGTCTCTTTATCCAAAATATACACTTGTATAAACTATTTATTCAAAGCTTGCAACTCTTATTAAAAAGGAAGCTAGTCTTTTATTTAAATAACTCTTTCCAAATAAAAGTTTTGAATGCAATTAATTGATTGGAATAATAAGAATTATTCTTTTAATTTTGAAGGTAATTGGGACAATTATCTTATTAAGAATCTAGTATATTTTTGGAATAATTTTCAAAGTGAAATTCCTAAATTAGCACTTTTTGCTTCTCAAATTATAAGCATACTATTAATATTAGCTAACACAGGTCAAAAGATGACAAACCAGACACAAATTAGGCACCTGATTTTAAACTGATTATTAACTAATTACTGCCTAATTTATGTATATTTTTGTACCAAAAATTTGATACAAAAATATACATAAATTAGGCAGTAATTAGTTAGTAATTAGTTTAAAATCAGGTGCTTGATTTGTGCCTGGTTTGCCATCTTTTAACCTGTGTAATAGTGAATAGTTTTGTTTAGTAATTTTAAATATATACATACCACAATGAAACAGATTAACAAATGACTATGTATTTAAATAATATTGTATACATTCAATAGCACATGGCTCAAGAAGAAAATATCTTTCTTAAGCAAAAAGAAATTAATAATTTTAGTCAAATTCTTCAACAAAATATTATTATATCTAATTCCAAGATAATTAGAGAAAAAAGTTCTTCTATTAATGTTTTATCTATTAATAGTGAAACAGGTAATTAGGAAGAAAATTATATTAATGAAAATGAGTCTTAAAATTTGAAAGAATCTAATAACTCTAAAAACCCTAAAGAAAAAATAATAAAAACAATTAAAAATATTGATATATTAGATTCTAATAATCAAAATACATATTGTGAAGTTGTGAGTAAATATAGTCAAGTTGTAAATTATGATGAAAATGTATTAGAAAATTGGTTGCTTTTTGATAAATTAGATAATATTTAATTTAGCTATGTTTTGTTTTCACTAATATGTAAAAATTATATTTGCTACTAACATTATAAACATCACTTATTATTACTTAATACAAAAAATCTTGTGTAATATTTTGTAAAATTAAGTAAGAATATATAGTTTTATTACCCATCCTTACACATAACATATACAGTAGAATATCTGATATATAGAATTAAAATAAAATAAAAAATTATTAAATTTAGTTTAGTAGTTGTTGAGACATTTAATTTAAGACAATTTCTATTTGTACATAGGATATATATACGTATATACATGAGTATATAGAAACCAATTGATATCTTAAATTTTGATTATTAAACCACTTTTTGGCTTCTAATAAAAAAATTCCTTGAGAAATTTTGGTATAAACTATGCCTTGCTTAATTTCAAAACCCACCCTTATCCTATCTATAAGCAAGGGTTTAATATGATTGGTATGTTACACAAAATTCGTAATTCAATAATACTCGCTACTTAAAGTTTAAAAAATTTTTACTTAGAAAAAATCTTTTCCTTTTCTATTGACAAGCTCCCATATAATATGAGAAATTCTGCAGAACCTTTTTTTTATATTTGCGGGATCCGCATATGTTTAAAAAATATATTTACGGAATAAATTTTTAGTCTGTGCTCCGCAGATTGTTCTGTAGTGTTCCGCAAAAGATCCGGGTCCGGTCCGGATTCGTTTACGGACCGAGTTCGGCCCTTGATTTTGCAGATCCGGGTAAATGCCCGATCCGACCACGAAGTATTTGATGTTCGGAAAGCGAGTCCGGGTCGAATCCGGATTTTTTTACCTGAATTCGGACCTAAACCTTGGATCCGATTCGTTTTTCGGATCGGATCCAGATCTGTAAAAAAATACCCGTCCTGTCCGATTCATACTGAACATTAAATTGTCACCAGCGTGATGTCGGGGAAATGGTAAGATACATATCTGATATGAAACGAATGCTAATACCGAATTCGTTTCTCAAAAAATAGGTTTAAAAAACACTACTACGGACCTCTGTAAAATTGTGCAATATAAAATCGAAATCAGAACCTAATCTAAACGTTAACCAATAAAAATTAAGAAACTACGACAATGCCCGGAAATTTGCAAATTTTCAGAAAATTTGGAAATTTAGATCCAAAATTTTGTGTCCATGATCCTACGCCTTGTCGATGCCCAAAACGCTTTAATTATTTAAATTGTTAAAAAAAGTAAAGCTCGAAATCAATTAATTAAACCAAAGAGTTAACTGGAACAGGATTCCATCGGAATTTTTAAATCCTTTATTAAAATTGATTGTACCTACAAGCTATTAATACGCAATTCGTCCTTAGTTCTCTTTACAATGATGTATTTATAGTTTTCTCTGAGATCCGTTCACAATATAACATAAAGTTATCGTTATATTCTGAAGTGCCGTCTTGATCCATGTGCATCATTCATCATTGAATATATAAGCATACGGAACAGCTTCAGAAACGCGAATATATCCTCTAAACATTCCATCGGTATTGAAAGGCATAGCAACTTTATCAAAGAATTTGTCATTAATGTCCATAAATATAGGAATAGAAGTAATGCCATATTATTAACTTACAATTTCCATATTTGTCCAATGCGATGAGTCCGCCAGAGCCACCAACTTTTTCTAAATTTTTAATAACGTACGAAGCCGCATCTTGCACACTTTCCTCAAGATATTTCATTCGCGCTGCCACATCATAAGCAACACTATAACGAATGAAAAACTACGTGAAAATATGATGAGTTGTAAATGAATTATAAATGGGTTGTAAAAGATTAATGATATATAAAGAAAATAGAATTTTTTTTAATTACCTCGCCGTTTCCAGTACCACTGACACCACATGTTTCATTATCAGCCCAAGTTCCACACGCTATTAACGGTGAATCACCGATACGACCATCTTTTTTATTATTAAATCCACCTTAACGTGTTAAATTAAAAAGTAAACACATATATTCAATTACTATGTCATGATATCTTGAAAATTGTGATGTGGTATCACATTTACAAACCTGTAGATGTGGCCGTCGAAATGATCCCATTTATATCAACCTTGAATAATGATTTTATAATTAAAAATGTAGTAATTACGTGAATTATAGATAAAATAATATACTACCGCAACAGCTCCAACTGTTCCCATCGGATTTGGATCAGCTGCATCACGTGAATCACCAACATCGAGATCATTTAGCATTCTCAAGTTCTCAGGTTTCTTTTCTAATCCATCTAAATGTTGCTTCCATCTCTGCTTTGTCCAAAAATAACCCGGATCTACCATTTCTAATCCTTTTGATTTCGCGTATTTTTCTGCCTCAATAGAAAAGGAAAAGATTTTTTCTAAGTAAAAATTTTTTAAACTTTAAGTAG